TCGAAATGATGGGCAATGCCGACTTCAGTAGCTACAAAGAAGGAAATGGACAGGTGGGCATGTGACTCCAGCCTCACAGCCTCACAGCCAATTAATCCACAAGAACCAACAGCTGTGTTATGTTTCTACTCACTGGGAAATTTTCCATCTCTGGTCGGCGGTATTCTCAGTTGTCCTGGGGAAATCTCTAAGGTGCTCATTGGACGGCTCAAAGAATCTTTCGAAGTGCTGCTGATTGCTCCCCAGCCTGCCCAGAAGGCAGCCAGGGAATTCTGTTATCGTTACGGACCCAACTGTTGCCAAAGGATTCCCCCCTTGGGGACAGGGGGCCACTGTATTAGGTGGTTTTCTTTTCAAGGATCTCTTTTAACATTTGAAAATTATTAACTCCTCTCTTCACTTGCTGATACTCCTTTTCTTTACCCAGTTTTTCAAATGTCATTTGAAATGTCTCTGGAAGAATATACTATTGGTGAAGTTTTCTAGAGCTGGGCTAGTCAGTCCTGCAGATGTTTGTCATATGTGGCCACTGAGCACCTGGAAAGTGATTAGAACTAATGGGCACGTATTATGAGTGTAACACACACACACACACACACACACACAGAAAGAGAGAATGAGAATCTATTGCCATCAAGTTGATTTCAACTCTGGAGCATCCCTACAGTTCTACAGAGCGGCCCTGGCCCACAGGGTTTCCAAGACTACAATCGTCACACACACACACACACACAGACGGCCACACCTTTCTCCTGTGGAGTGGCTGGTGGGTTAGAACCACCTACCTTTCTGTTAACAGCCAAGTGCTTAATCTCCGTGCCACCAAAACAAACAAATCAAGCTCACTGCCATCGAGTCGATGCTGACTCAGAGGGACCCCCAGTGGGTTTCTGAGACTGTGACTGTTCAACAGGAGTAGAAAGCCCAGTCCTTCTCCCTCAGAGCTGCTGGTGGTTTTGAACTGCCGACCATTTGGGTTGCAGCCCAACATGTAACTACTGTACCACCAGGGCTCTTTACTGTGCCACCTGGACTCGGGAAAACAAGCACCAGGATAAAACGATGCAAAATATCTGATCCGCCTTGGGGTTTTTGTTTTGTTTTAACGTAGATTACATGCAGAAATGACAGTCTTCTGGACAGGGGGAGCTGAAGGAAAGACAGCACTAAAGTGATTGTCATCTGTCCCTTTTCATTCTCTATCCTGACTGCTAGGAAGATTTCAAGTCACACGGGTGGCTCATGAAATTGGCTCACACCTGTTTCTGTGGGACAGCATGCATTGGTCTAGGGCGTCATGCCACATACTTTTTCTGGAGAGAGGGGTGTTGGAATGCCATAGACCGTGGTAGCTTGCAGAGGCCCAGAACACGGGCTTGTATCGGAATCTCTGTCATTTGCTAGATAAATAACCCTGGGGAAGCTACTGAGGGGGTCTCCGTCCCGATTTCTTCACCTGTAAGACGTCCATACCAGGATTACACAGAGGGTTAGATGAGATGGTGCCATGCAATGTGCTGCGGACAGATTCATCTCTAGGTCATCACATCACCCTAATTGTCAGCCACCATCACCGTTGCTCATCTTCCTGCGTCCTGAGACGCACTGAGTTTGGGTTTAATGAGTGCCTCCCACCCTCTTCGCACCCCCGGGATAGGAGAGGGGAGGGCCCTCACAGAAGTGCCTGTGAAAATGGAATGCCAAGATCGTGGAGTTTGCCAGAAAACATACGGAGCCCCCTCGTGTATGTGAAAACTATTTTATGTGGGAGATTTATCCGAACCTGTCTTTTCCGGGACAGTGTAGAAAGGCCACCCTTTAAACCATATGAACCAGACGCACGTGCTGCTGACTCCTGAAGCCACAGGGCACAGTGAACAATGGTGGCCCTTTAGAAGGAACAGACTCCGGAAGTCACCCAGGCACAAAAATATACAAAGCAAGTGAGGATGAGGATGAACAGTTGGATCCGTGATTGAAAAAAAAAATCACTTAACTGCAGACACACAGCTGACTTTCCTCACTTGTTGGCAACCTAATGCACGATGGACCCAAGACGCCCATCAAGCTGAGCAAACAATTCTCTCCAGGCACCACCTCTGACTGCAGGCCTTGCCTTTTGCAGGACCAGCTCAGCTGTTCTGCTTTTCAAAAGAACTAAACACGCTACTTCCTTATAAACATTTCAGAAAGGTGACAAAGTATCCTCCTGGGAAGTAAGTGGGAAAGAAAACGTAAGGAATCCCTTCGCATTGCTTGAGACGTCAATTCCAGGCACGAACTTAATAGATCATCATTAGACACACAAACGCTTCACTTAAAAATGCTTATGGTGATGGGAAAAGTCTACCAAACATGAAGTCTGCCCAGCTTGATTCTGGACTAAAGGAACTGATGGTCGATGTTGTGTTATATGTAATTTTGCAACAATAGACAAAATAGAATAAAACAAGTAGTGTCAATGGGTGCTGCCACTTATTGGGCACAACCAGGCACCTCACAGAACTTGTTTTCTTGGTTGGAAGGCTGACGGTCATAACCTCAGGGACTCCCTCAGTCAAGCGGCATCATCTAGTTTATAAAAGGGATGGCGGCATCCCACTGTGAGGGGTAGTCACTGGGGCCGTAAGACGTTGCAAGCTGTCACCTAAGACACAACACCTGGCCTCTAATCATCGGGCGCCAAAGAGAAAGAAGGAAATAAAGAGTCCGAGAAGGAACCAGACTACAGGATTCAATTTGTCTCCATAGACCACAGCTTCCTCTTCCTGGAGCCCCGAACGAGGTGGTGCGCAGGACAGAATGTTCTGATCAGGGTCTGAATCCCACAAGGAAGAAGCCCGTGGAACAGAACCTTAGAGCCTCGAGGGCAGCGGTTCTCCACCTTCCTCAAGCCAGGACCCTTTCATCCAGTTCCTCATGTGGTGGAGAGCCCCCAACCATCACATTATTTTAGTTGCTACTTCATCACTATGATTTTGCTACTGTTGTGAATTGTCATGTAAATATCTGATATGCAGGATGTATTTTCGTTGTGACAAATTGAACATCATGAAAACCTAGTGATTCATCACAAAAACAATGTTATTGTATATTGTGAAATATTTATTTCTAATGACAAATCAATGAAATTGTCTTGAAGCATGGTATAGCATGGGCAACAGTCTTCACGCTGGATACTCGTAGGTGGGCGTATCTACATGTGGGTGGACCTGCCTGGAGACGATAGAGGAGCGGTGTCTGGTTCCTATGACCACGGGAAATGTGTTTTCCGATGGTCTTAGGCAACCCCTGTGAAAGGGTTGTTCGATCCCCAAAAGGGTCGCAACCCACAGGTTAAGAACCGCTGCTCTAGGAAGATAGACTTACTGAACCCATTGAGAACAGAGGAATCCTCCAGAGAACATTTCCCTGAGAAACTCTTTCAACCTTTGGACCAAAACTGTCCCTTGTGGGTCCCCTAACTAAATGGTAGGTTAGCTCAGAAAGTAAAGACTGTCACCCTTGAGTACTGCAGTCTTTATAAAATCAGCTCTATGAGACCAAACGGATGGAAGGTACTCTAAGCCACAGATGAGGAGGGCAGGGTTCGGTGACAGGAAGTGGCTGGGCATGGAACTAGAAAGGAAAACTCTGGGAATGCAGACCCGGCGTGGAGATGCCCCCAATATCACAGGACACTGTGTGTCGAAATTGTTGACTGGGAATCTGCTTTGCTGCCTGTCTCCCTTTCACCCACATTCCAAGGAAACATTTTTTATATTAAAAAAAGAGTTTCATTGAAAATGAGAAACTATGTAACCTGTCCTGTAAACGGTTCGTTAAGGCAGATCTGAGAATTGGAATCCATCCAATCCACAAGTCATCCTGCAGACTGGAAACATACACTACTCGTACCTGTAAAGATATCAGAACTCCCTTCCTCTGCCTTTTGCTAGGCACGGCCAGCCTCACGCCCCACCAAGGTCCTCGCTCTGACATGTCAGGTGTTCCCATGGCTGACTCTACACGAAATTTCACTCAAGCACATCTATGTCAGAGATCCATGCACACTACTCGATGGCAGTCCAAACCTTCCAAGCCATGTAATGGGGACGTATCAGCAGTTGATTAATGATTAAGACACCCAGCCCTTCTGCGCTCAAAGGTTTGCTATGATAGCATTTCTTTTTTTTTTCTTTTTTAACATTTTATTAGGGGCTCACACAACTGTTATCCCAAT